GATGGTCTGTACAATTAAAAAAAATAAAATGCTTATTCAAGGTAATCTGTTACCAAACCAGAACTCTTCACAAAAACTCATACTCAGAGGGAAACCTTCACCAGTAAACAGTTCATGAAGGCGCCCACACTAAGTACTTCATGTATACACGCTCAGCCCAACTGTGCGAAAAACATTACTGATCTGTTTACTCTAGCTTCAACAGTAAGTCACTCACCATTTTAAAGTAATATTCATGTGGCTGGGGGCAAAGACATCTCAGACATACACATGAGCATCTGGAAGGTAAAATCTTCAGACCACCACCCCAAATCCCAGGACTTTCTTTTTTTTCCCTTGGCTACGGAATAATCTTGACAGCATCTTTCCCTTGATACACAGTCTAGGTCAATTCTGTGAGAGTGTTTCAGAAACTCAACTCTCCAGGACACCACTGACTTAAGATGTCATGTGCCTGTCTAGCAACCAGAGACAATAAAAAAAACCAACTTTTTTAAACTGCTAGAGGTCCTCTTAGTCTCCTTTTTTCATATTCAGTGAAATCTAATGGTAACTAAATTCCACAAAATTCCAGAGTAAGCAAAGTCATCAATGTGTTGACAGTTAGGTATCCCTCATATTCAAGAATGTAATATATGAATTAATACATAAAAGAGCCCAAGATATACAGTTTTTGTACATTAATTCTATTTTTTCTACTTTATTATGAAGCCAAAGCTATTAGAGTACAAGTGAGTACCTTAAGCTCATATTTAAAGGAAAATAGATAACGTTATACCAATATTACATTCTCTTCATATTACTTTTTAGGTTGTCTAAAAAATAAACTCACAACTGTGCACGCGGTGTACCTGCTCGTTCACTCTCTACAGCTCGGGACAGAGCCCTCCAGGACCGAGCACCTCTGGTCCTGAACTGCTCCTGGGGTAGGGACACTTCACCAGAATCATCACCAGTCACAGCAGACCGAGGAGACTTCTACAATCTGCTGCAAAATACTTGCCCAGGACTGGATGTAACTTTGTGTGAAGATACTGGACCCTAACGAGCCCAATAACCAGACCCGGGAAAGCCCTCAGGCGTCTGCCTCTAAGGGGAAGGACAAGGCCCCCACCTTCCTGTATCCTGCAAGGCAGGGGGAAGGTGGGGACAATGGGATAATGTCTGCCAAGTCCAATGCAGCTTGTCTTTTCTATTAGTTACTGTCTAACCACGGTACTGACTTGAACACTGTCTAAAGTACAACTACATCTATTCTCAACTTTTCCTTAAGACTCGGGGGATTTTGTTTTGTTGGTCTGCAGCAGTTTTCTTTGACTAAGCTATATCAGACATCAGATTTATTAGACATCACCTGGGCAATACACACCCAAGGCTAAGTCATACTATGCCCTCCTTCCTTAGGCTCACTCCAGAACCCAGGGAAATCCCTTCACCACGTGCTGCCTCTCACCTCGAGTGTAGAATGATGGCAGTGTCCTCACCTACCCGTTTCTTATAAATCAGGGAGAAAGCGAGGGACAATGACATAATGTCTGTAAAGAGCTGAGTGCTATAGAATAAAAGCTCTCATTAAGACATCTGTATAAAAGCTCTTATTGACACATGCTCTTACCTTTGACAAACACAAAGTAACATTTCAAACCAAAGCCCTACTTATACAAAAGAGGCTATTAAGAGTATAAAACACTGTAGCACTGTGCTATGTGGCACTCCCTTATGAGAACAGACTCCAGGAACGTGAAGGTAGGCAAAAGATACGGTGCCCATCTGGTTCTCAGGGATGGATCTGATCTGACTCACCCTCAGACCTGGTACAGCTGCTCAGAGACCAGCAGGGACAGAAATACTGCACTATCTCCAGGTGGCCTTCCCAAATCCCCTGGATTCCCACCATCTCTCAGGGCTGATTTACTGTGTACAGGAACACAGTCAGAGCAGCGGAAGCTGTATAACTATCAGCTATTGCAAGGGGAGTAGAACACATTAATTTTATAAAAGTGCAAACGAGTTTCTTTCTAAGGCATGTTCTCCTCACTGCCTCCATCTGAAAGATTTAGTTAACTTAACATTCGTGTCTGTCAACAGCTTTGAGAAGGGCGATATTTTCTCTGCTAGTGACCCCAGGAGCCTCAGGGAACAGTGCAGCCGTCTGAAGAAAGAAAGGTGCTAGAGGAACTGGATGTGCAGAAGTGCCCCAAACCACAATCAACCAACAACCAAATACTGTTGCTGCGAGTCTGAGAGAGGCCCACTGTCATGTGCCTTCTTGACTTTGTGGTTTATCACTGGCCTTGATAGCCTTTGTTCCTTGCCTTGACCTCTGCTACCCAGACATATGAGAAACAGAAATTTATCTCGACAGACTATTTAGAAATTTAGTATATAACCAACCTATTCTTCTCCAGATTAAAACAAGGACAATGCTAAACCTACAAACAGAGTAAAACAGCTAGTATGCGATTGATGACTAAGAAAACTGAGATATCTGAAATTTATATTCAAGATTTTGGTATAGCAAGGCAGGCAAAAAAAAAAAAAAAAACCTAATGTATTTCTACTTCACTGAGTCATGTATTATCCACCTATTTACTGGCACTTGACATATATGGCAAAACCAGCTAACCAGAGAAGTAAAACATGTAAGTGAAACTGAATTTGCTGTCATAATCACCACAAGCTCCCAATGAAATACACACGAAAATAATTTAGGATTCATTTGACAATACTTTGGCAGTTCCTACAAGTTCAAGGATGCCAATTAGTCATGGCAGCCCTAAGAGGGACACACAGTCTTTGGCAAATTATTTGGGTTATTATGATGGATAAAGAGCTATCTTTTCCTTTTAATTCAGAATGCAAATGAGGGATCCCACAATATACAGAGAAAAAAATGTTTCAAAACTCACATGTATCAAACCAAAAGGATGAATTCTTCAAGTGTGTGTGATTTAGCAACAGGAAAATTCCTTGAAGACAAAAGGGTAGCCATATTATAATGGCTTAGGCTGGCACAGAGCTAAAAATCTGCAGTGTTGTATTGCCACTTATCTTTGGTGTCACAGCACCTAACTATCTTTGGGTATAGTTTTCCATAGCCACAGAAATCAGCATGACCTCTCCATTAAATTTTAAGAAATGGCCAGAGCTACTGGACTATTGTGATAACAATTCTAAAGTATTTTGACTCTATAAATGAGTAGCTGTGATAGATATGGATACGAAGCAAGTACTTCTGTTACTTGAAGTAAGCCCTTAAAACTGCTTTTCTCCTTAAGAGAATTTCAAAGTGAAAGATCAGAATGAAGCAGTGCATTTTCACTTAGATGATAAAGGACGTGACTACCCAATGCCTCTGATAGACTAATCTTTGATCAAATTCTATATGAGAAATATTAGACAGATTATTTATATAGTATTTATACTATTTCTATTATTACTTATACTTATTTTCCTGGGGAGCAGGATTTGGTACTATTTCACAGTGAGAGCGGACAAAACTGTCATGCAAAAAACCCTACTTCTTAAATCTCTCTAACAGTTCGCTTCTTTGTAGCAAGATAACTACTTCATTTCCTAGCAGCCAAATACAAGTTCAAACAGAAAAGTAGGGAAGGAAGACAAAGGGTTTCTCAGGCAGGTTGACTGCCTCAACTCTCAGTAGAAGGCCAATCATTACTAGAGATTCCTCTCCTTGATTTGACTTACTTATGTACGCACTCATTTGACTTAGATTTTCCCAATAAGGATTTGAGAAGAAGCCAGACTTCATCATGTAATCAACATTTAGAAACTGGCTAACAAAACAAGACTAACTGAAGCTCCCCAATACACCTTGTCAAAGTCACACATCTTTAAGGTGGCATTAGTACCTACCTCCCAGAATGGAAAACTTTCATTATGAATGAAAACAACCCGACTTCTAAGCTCTTCCCTTTTTATTCATTAGTAGGGTTCCTTCTTTTCTCTCTGAACAATACTGGGATTCTGGCAAACCCTGAAGTAGGATTGCAACGGGAAGACTCGAGATAAGGGAACTGGCCTGACCTTTGCTAGGAACTTTTTGGAACTTTTCAGTAAAATGCATATGTGCTAGCTTTTCCTCCTCCACAAAACGTGCCAAACACCTGTATGATATATTTCTTTCGAAGGCTTTACTGTACTTTTGTAGATGACATGTTAGTTCTCTTCATACATTTTCTATCTAAAGATTTCAGAGGGCTGCCGCATCATCGTGACTATGGAAGGATGGGTATTAGAGAATCTGCAAATAGAGGACCCGAGACAGAGGAGCCCACTGTTGGCCAGGGACGCCATCATTTTTCCACTAGGTTGCACATGCCCTCACTTATCCGCAACAGCATAAAGACATTTACATGTTTTTCCCCCTTCCATTCAATTACTACATATATGTAAAGGCTTCCTTCTTAATTTTGTTAATTTAGATATTTCAAAAACACTTAAGTGTATACCTAGTACCCAAGCCCCTCCAGAGCTATTGTAATGGTGATCTGAAATACTAGGATACGCAGTTTGGTGGTAAGAGCATGGATTTGGAGTCAGACAGACATGGATTCAAACCTCAGTTTGGTGGCTCTGTTACCCTGCGCAAATTACTTAGCTACTGGAAGCCTCAGTTGTAAATGGAGCAATGATACCTCTTTGGAATGTATCCAGTGAGATAACCTATGTGAACTGCTTAGCACGGCGCTCAGCAAATGGTAGCCAAGGCCACTATCGTCATCATCATTAAGAGCACTGGGCACTTCCTGAGCACAATCCTACTGCTGAACGCAGAAGAAAAGGTGTCGATCTAGGTAAGGGTAAGGGAGCTATGCAAGAACAGCCTGGTGAAGCACCTGCGAGAAAAATCTAAACACTGGATGGAGGGAAGGATGTAAAAATGGGACAGTGGTACCCCCGGGTGGGAGGTTTCTGGGCACATTTCGGGAGGGCCGCGCGGGGCGGCAGTGCCACCGCGGGCGGGTGGCGGCACTCACACGGGGGTGACGCCCTTGGGCAGGCCCAGGGCGTTGACGGCCGCCGGCGCGGGCTGCGAGGGGAGCAGGGCGCTGAGGAAGGCCGCGGGCGTCTGACCGGGCCCGAAGCGGGCGGCGGGCGAGGCGGGGCCCGGGAGCGGCGGTGGCGGCGGCGGCGGCAGCGGGAACACGTCGGGCACCGGGAAGGCCGTGGTGGGGCTGAAGACCGGCGGCGGCGGTGGCGGCGGGGAGGGCGAGCCCGGGTACCAGGCGGCCTCGGCCTCGGCGCCGAAGGGCTGCGCGAAGGGTGGCGCGGCCGGCCGGCCGAAGGGCTTCAGCGTGGGCGACAGGGGCGACGGCAGGCTGGACGAGCTGGGGCTGGAGGCAGGCGTGCCGTGGCCCGACGCGGGGCCCAGGTTCTGCGCGGCGATGAACTGCTTGGGGCGCGCGTAGTTGAAGGAGCCGGACGACTGCATGGCGGGCGCCGAGCGGGAGGCGAGCGCGCTCATGGGCTCCGGAGCGGCGGGCGCCGCGCAGGCCGCGAGCTCGGGCAGGGCGGGCGGCGGCGGGAAGGGCGGCGAGGGCGGCGCGCTGCGAGGGGCGGCCTCCTGCTCGCGGCGGACCTGGTTCTGGAGCTGCTGGAGTTTCAGAGGGTCCCTGCAGGGAGAGAGAAGCGACACCTTCAGAGAGGGCACCGGGAGGCAGGCTCAGGGGCAGTGAGGGGCGCCCGGGGATGCCGGCAGCAGACGGTCCCCGCGGCCTTGGGCGCGCGCCACCAGCCTGCATGGGCAGCCTGGGCTCCATCCTCAGCCGCGGGGCCGCGTCCACTAAGTACGACCAGCAATCTCGACGCCTGATTCAGGTTTTACCTAAGATGATCCAAACCGGTTTACAAATCGTGACGGAAATTTTGTCTGATTTCCAGGAGCCACATTTCATTTGCATAGAACCAGAAATATTAACAGAAAAACTTTGTGGACATGAATTTTTTAGTCCTCTCATTGGTTGCCAATTTTTGGAAAAAAGTATTCTATCAAAATGAGAAAGCTAAAAGGAAAAAACACTCGATTTAAGTTTTTGGGGGGCAGATTTCGTTTAGTCCAATTTACCTATTGCTGTGCTGTCAACTCTGCATTCAATAAATATTACAGGCTGATTTTGGGGGGGGGGGGGGTTCCACTTTAATTTCTGCATTTGTTCCCTAAAAAAATACAAAATTTGCTCTACCCAAAATTTTAGTTGTTAAACCTTGAGTCGCAAATTATATATAAAACTCGATTACATACTGATATTTCGTGCCATTTCTAAAACACAGGCAAATGACATCTCTCATTAACATGTAGGCAAATAAGTAATAAAAATTATTAATTTTATGGTAATGCAGTTCCCCAAGTATTTTCCAGCAAGAGTTTAGTTTTTTTTTTTTTTTTTTGAGGAAGATTAGCCCTGAGCTAACATCTGCTGCCAATCCTCCTCTTTTTGCTGAGGAAGACTGGCCCTGAGCTAACATCCGTGCCCATCTTCCTCTACTTTATACTAGGACGCCTACTACGGCATGGCTTTTGCCAAGCGGTGCCATGTCCTTACCCAGGATCCCAGCTGGGAACCCCCGGCCGCTGAAGCAGAACCTACGAACTTAACCACTATGCCGCTGCACCAGCCCAAGAGTTTAAATTTTAATTTATGAAAAAGAAGTAAGCAGCTAGCAGTTAGCTAAAATCTTACTCTATCTTACTGAAAGGTTTTCCTGTTTAGCTGAATTTTACATCCAAAATATTTTCCTTTATTCCCGTCAGCTAGTGACCAATGGCTCTCAAAAGAGACTTCAACAGAAGGTGGCACTATAACAAGCAGCTAAAACAGGAGCAATTCCATGAATAGGCAAAGCTATGCTCCTAACTTGAAACCTTTTAGAACTAAAAAACAAAACTCTCAAAACTTTTTTATCCATAGGGATTTAATCTTCAAAATCAAGCTTTCAGAAATTCAAAGCAATAATAGGAAATGAAGATGCTTTCAATTTTACTTCAAAAAGTTGAAAAAGATAAAAAAGCTTTAACTCTGTTAGCAAGCATCATTAGATGTGGGAGCTTCAGCAGAGAAGTCCTAAATTCCTTCCCACGTCTTCTCTAATTATCCAGGAAAGTGATTACACTTAAATCCATGAAAAGACAGAGCAAGAAACACTTTCTTGGGAACCAAAAAGCATAAAGAGAAGGGCTTCTATATGCTTAATCAGCGCAAAGCATCAAAGATTCCAACAACAAAGAACTCTGTGGGGTCCTGTGGAACGTAATTTCGGCGTCTTCAAAGCAGCCACGCCACTGCTGGGATTCACCAGCACGGTCAAGGTCCAGATGCCGTGTGGTTGGGGTAGACTGTCCAGCACATGCGTTCCTGCGTTCACTTATTGGAACTGGCCCAGGAACAGAACCCATAAAAACCACCTCCAGCTCTCCAACCATCCTCCAAGCACTCTCATTCTGAATCCCCAAATGCCCCTTTCTGATCCCCCTGCCTTTACTATCTCTTTCTTATTTCCTAGCTGTGGCAAAATCCATCCCATTCCTGGAATGTTTATCATCAACATTCAGCTGCCTGTGCACCTGGATTGGGGTGACCTGTGTGGCCAACCTCACAGGTCCTGCTCCCCTGTTCTGGGCCAGCCTGGGCTTGCGACGGCCAGAGCCTCAGTTGTGTTTTAAGGTATTTTAAGCTTGGTTTGCCATCAGCAAGTAGCTGTATGTAATGGCTCTGCTGCTATAGACATCATATCACACCCTGTATCTGATGTGAGGATTTGAGGATTCCCTGGCCCCAGGATTAAGGAATGGCTCCTGAGAACCCGTCTTCAAAGAAGCCAGGGTGAGAAAGCCCAAACCATACTGCATTGGTTCTAACTTTCTCCATGGGGTCAAGCCTACTCATTCGGGCATTAAAAAGAACCATGAGGGGCCGGCCTGGTGGTGTAGGGGTTAAGTTTGGGTGCTCTGCTTTGGCGGCCTGAGTTTTGCTGGTTTGGATCCCGGGCACAGACCTATGTGCCACTTATCAAGCCATGCTGTGGCCGTTGTCCCACAGATAAAGTAGAGGAAGATGGGGACTGATGTGTGCTCAGGGCCAGTCTTCCGCAGCAAAAAGAGGAAGATTGGCGGCAATGTTAGCTCAGGGCTAATCTTCCTCCCCCAAAAAAAAAGAACCACCAAGTTTGCTAACGCAAGTGCTCAAAAGCTGCTGAGATACCTTTAGTAGTGACAGTTCAAGAAATTATTGCTGTAGCACTTCAGAAGAAATGAACAGAATTCTAGTGATTTGGCTACTAGCATATATTGCAATGAAGAACTTTGCTAGGGTTTCCACTCTCCCTCATTCTGCACTGGGTGAGGAGTAGAATATGCAGGGAATCTGAGGGGTTGGAGGAAGGAGAGCAAAAACAGTCATGTTGAATCTTCAAGTGTCTGACTTGATTTCTGTGCAAATGGTAATTTTTAAAAATATACTTGAGTTAAATGGATGTGACATCTGGATTCTCAGATGATGAAATGCACAATTCTAAGTCATTTTCTCAGTCCTCATTAAGTTATTTTTACCAAAGTTCATTTTCACAGAGAGAAAAAGGCAAAGAGAATGCGAGGTACCTGAAAGGCAGGATTGCCCACAGCTTTTGGAAATTACTTAAAAGTTATTTGTTATAAAAATGTATCACTTTTCTAGTTTCCCCATTTTTTCTGCTGTCCTTTTTCTTAAAATAAAATAAGAAAATGAAACTGAACTGAATCTCTTGGAAATACTGCGCAAAGGTTGAAAAGTTAGGTTAAGAGTTCTAGACAGCTCTAGTGGCAAGTACACCACTTTGAGCATCATATTGTTCGAGTCATAAGGTTTTGCACAACTACCGTCACACCCCTCCCACCACACCCTCAATTCAAAAAGTCTAAGACACTCCCTGCTCTTACCCCTCCTTCAATTCTCAAGGTTTCAACACTTAATGAAATGAGCTCAGTGCACCTGTCACAGAACATTTACAAATGGGGAAATGGATTTTAAGTAACTTGCTCAAGGTCACAGAGCAAGCTACCTGCAGAGCCAGGTTAGATCTCTGTCTGTCCCTGGCTCTTTTCACTACATTGGGCATGTCAACATAAAAGGACCCTGACCTGCAGTGTGATAAAAAAAAAAAAAATAAAAATCTGTGGATTTTCTTCACTCTTATGCCTTCTTGCAGCCATAGCATCCAGGGCCTTTAGGATCTGAATCATCAAAGTTTTAAATGTTTACATATTTGAGAATATATTTAAGAATATCTGACTTCAAACTTGATTCTATTTAGGGTGAAATGGTGCAAAGATGAGAAGATGGTGGCAGCCCAGGATGGGAATATGTAAATGCTAACTCAGTGGATTCCCCTCCTACACTACAGAAAACCAAGAGTCTTCCGCCCCCCACCCCACCCTAATGGTTTGGGCACAGCTTTTAACAAGAAGAGTTTTACAGATAATTGGATGGGGGCAAAGATTGAGATTTGACAGGGATAAATAAAGAGAGATGTAGAACCCAATCTACTTTCCAGTTCAGTAATCTCTCCTGCCACAAGATTAAAACAGCCTTGGAAAGAGTAACCAGCCAAGTGGCAGTGTGGTATAGGAGAAAAAGGCTAGACTCACAGTGGGATGGTACTGGCTTGGAAGCCAACTCCGCCAGCTACTAACTGTGGGGTCACTATGAGGAATAAACAAGCACAGTGCCTGGTTCATAGTGTGAGCTCAATACATGTTCCACAGCAGAAGAGAGCAACCATGGCAATCCTGGTTACTGTACAAGATGGGTCTTTCAAAAATGGAGATAACGTTCTACTTAGTACAGGGGATTTTCGTCTTCACCTGTTCCCACTGCAAGTACCTGGCAAGGGAACAGCAGTGGCATGTGAGGAGATGGGGAACTGGAGATGGAGGGTGAGCTGCAAGACCAGCTGAGAAGGCTGGCCTCAGCAGCTGCTCCTCGCCCTGCTCCTACTCACAAAGCCACGGTAGGGGTGGGAGATGAGGGACAGCACGCATGATGGACCTGGCACTGGAAGCACCCATTTACAACAACTCTGGGCAGTTGGTAGTATTAAGCCCACTTAAAAATTCCCCATAGGTTAGTGAGGTCAAGTAATTTGTCTTAAGGGCAGAACCTGGAGGTGAAAGGGCTGGTTGGCTCGGAAACCTTGTGCTTCATCATTTTCTCCAAAGTGCTCAGTAAACAAAAAAGGCTTATTAAAATGTTAGTTATTATTCTTCCATATCACTTTTTCTCTGGGGAACTGCAGCCCAAGTTCAAAATAAATGATGTGAAAGTAAACTTCTGGAAAACTGTTATGTAAACTGGAAATTCCCAGTATGTCTCTCTGGAGCAATGTCTGGATTGCAAGAAGTAATTTATCCCCTGCTCATACTAATAAAGATGGAGTATTTATAATTATCTGGAGAAACTCTTGGGATTGTAAAGCTGGAAAACATTTGTGCTTTCAGAATAAATATGCTGTTGGTTTATATGTTTTCTTTCATTTTTTTATTGTGTGATACAGAAGCCATTGTATGATGAAGAGTTAGAATACCTCACTCTCTGAACTGTGTGCTCCTCTGGTCCTGCTATTAATAGGTAGTTTGAAGGCA